TGTTGCTGTCGTTTATGATATTGCTGCTGCTGTTGTTGCTGCTGCTGCTGCTGCTGCTGCTATGGTCGCTGCATGCGCTGCTGCGCTTTCGCACCAACCCCTGAATGTTTGCTGTCTTCTATTGCTGCTGCTGCTGCTGCTGCTGTTGCTGCTGCTGCTGCTGCTGCAGGGAAGGCTGAGGATGTGCTGCCGAAGCTGCTACAGGAGTTTAAGGGGGAGACACACATCTCTGCTATTGTTGACCCTCCTAGGATGGGGCTTCGTACGCTGCTGCTGCTGCTGCTGCTGCTGCTGTTGCTGCTGCTGCTGCTGCTGTTGCTGTTGTTGCTGCTGCTTTTGTTGCTGCTGCAGTGGGATGGTAGGGTAGATGCTGAAGGAAACGAGGGAAAGCTCCATCCGTCATTCCTGCTGCTGCTGCTGCAGCAGCTGCTGCTGCTACGGCTCTTACTGCTGCTGTTGCTACTGCTGCTACTGCTGCTGCTGCTGCTGCCACTCCTGCTGCTGCTGCTGCTGCTGCTGCTGGGTTGTGCTGCAGATTCAAAGGTGTTGAAGGCTATAAAGCAATGCAAGCAGCTGAGTGAGTGCTGCTGCTCCTGCAGCAGATTAACTCAGGCATGAGCGTTTGCTGCTGCTGTTGCTGCAGCAGCAGCAGCATCTGCTGTTGCTGCTGCTGCTGCGGCAGCAGTATCTGCTGCTGTTGTTGCTGCTGCAGTTGCTTTAGCAGCAGCATTTGCTGCTGTCGCTATAGAAGCAATGGGACGCTCATATGGCAATTGCTGTTGCTGCTGTTGCTGCTGTTGCTGCTGCTGCTGCTGCTGCTGCTGCTGTTGCTGCTGCTGCTGCTGCTGTCTTTTGTGTTTTTCTTAGAGCGGCTGATTTACATATCCTGCAACTGCAAAACGTTGGTAGAGAATGTCTTAGAGTGAGACGCATGCATGCATGCATGCATGCATGCATGCNGCATGCATGCATGCATGCATGCATGCATGCTTCGTCGCTTGCTGCTGCTGCTGCTGCTGCTGCTGCTGCTGCTGCTGCTGCTGCTGCTGCTGCTTTTGATGTTTTCTGTCTCCTTTCTCTGTCTCTCTGTATACTGTCTCCTTTTTCTATATATATCTCTCTGTATGTAGTCTCCTTTTTCTGTCTGTATCTATCTAAGTGTCTCCTTTCTCTGTCTCTCTATATAAGTGTCTCCTTTTTCTCTACATTCATATACAAGTGTCTCCTTTCTCTGTCTCCTTTTTTTCTGTCTCCTTTTTTTCTCTGTCTCCTTTTTCTATACAACCATATACAAGTGTCTCCTTTTTCTGTCTCCTTTTTTTTTGTCTCCTTTTCCTATATATCTGCATACAAGTGTCTCCTTTCTCTGTCTCCTTTCTCTGTCTCCTTTTTCTATATACCCATATACAAGTGTCTCCTTTCTCTGTCTGTCTCCTTTTTTTTTTTCTGTC